AGGCGGACACAAGGACCAACAAGACGGAGACAAAAAGGAGACAAAAGATAACACAAGGGAGACAAGACGGACACAATGATCAACAAGAAGGGAGACAAGAAGGGAGACAAAAGGAAACAGAAGGGAGACAAGACGGACACAATGACCCACAAGAAGGGAGACAAGACCGGAGACAAAGAAAGAATGAAGGGAGACAAGGCGGACACAGTGACCAACAAGAAGGGAGACCAAGGAAGACAAGCCAAACGGAAGGCGGACACGCTGTCCGGCAGCAAGGCGGACACTCTTAGAAAGCATTTAGAACCCCTAACAGTAACCTGTTGGGGGAAGTACAGAAATCACCGGGGAGACAAATGAATAGAAATGCTGGAAAGGGGAAAGGGCGGATGCCAGCAGTGCAGGCACCGAACCTGGAAAACAAAAGTAAACAAACCACATGGGAAACAGGTGAATAGAAATGCTGCATGGCCAGCGGAGAAGGGCGGACACCAGCAGTGCAGGCACCGAACCTGGCAGACAAAAGTGAAGATTGAAGAAATAACTTTAAAGACAAACGAATTGAAATGCTGCATCGCCAGCGGAAAAGGGCGGACACCAGCAGTGACACACTTCGGAGACAAATGAACAGAAATGCTACATGGCCAACGGAAAAGGGCCGACGCCAGCTGCGACAGACCTGGGAGACAAATGAATAGAAATACTACATGGGCTAGTGGAAAAGGGCGGACACCAGCAGTGACAGACCTGGGAGATAAATGAATAGAAATGCTACATGCCCAGCGGAAAAGGGCGGACTAGCAGTGACAGACCTGGGAGACAAATGAATAGAAACGCAAAGGGCGGACGCCAGCAGCGACAGACCTGGGCGACAAATGAATAGAAATGCTAATAAATGCTACATGGCCAGGGGCGGACACCACCAGTGACAGACCTGGCAGACAAATGAATAGAAATGCTGTATCGCCAACGGAAAAGGGCGGACACCAGCAGCGACAGACCTGGGAGACAAATGAAAAGAAACGGTACATGGCCAGCGGAAAAGGGCGGACACCACTAGTGACAGACCTGGGAGACAAATGAATAGAAACGCTACATGGCCAGCGGAAAAGGGCGGACATCAGCAGCGACAGACCTGGGAGACAAATGCATAGAAATGCTACATGGCCAGCGGAAAAGGGCGGACACTAGCAGTGACAGACCTGGGAGACAAATGAATAGAAATGCTACATGCCCAGCGGAAAAGGGCGGACGCCAGCAGTGACAGACCTGGGAGACAAATGAATAGAAATGCTACATGGCCAGCGGAAAAGGGCGGACACCAGCAGTGACACAAAGGGCGGACACATCTTAAGAAAGAATTGAGAACCCCTAACTTAAACTGTTTGGGAATAAAAAAGAATGTTTGAGAACCAGCCCAATGTCTGATCGGCGTATGTGCCAACCGTCAAGTTCGAAGCAGCAACTGTGGAGAGTAAGCAGAGACGACTTGATTCTGTTACTCTTGGAAAGAGGTTGTGAATTCGGAGGCTGCTTTCGATTTTGTTCGCAAAAATGCCAAAGGTGTAGTTCTGAACATTCTCCATCAGCGTGCGCTCCAGCATGTATGGAATTGCAGCAAAAACCATGAAGCGCAGGGCATGTCGAGCAAATTCTGTGGCTGAGGTACGCGCTTCATGGGTGCAGTCAACCGTCAGCAAAAGGTTCTTGCGAAGCTGAGCTGAGCGAATGAAGGCAACGCCCAAGTGCCCCAATGCCAACTGCGTCTGGACCATGGTGACCATCAGCTCCAACGCGTTTTCGCGAAGACTCGGCAGAAACAGTTCCACCGTCTCAAATGCTTCCTGGACGAAAACACGAAGTAGTAACACACAATCGTCCTAAGAATCCCTGATTACCTGACTAAGGTCTCCGACTCCAGATTTCGTTGTGACTCGTTTCAGTTCCACGCACCACCCGCCTGGAACTCTTGCACTGGAAGCAGCCGCACCAAAACCATAGGGAGAAGAAACACGCCAAAGCAAATGCCCAACACCGCACCCAGCTTTGCCCATTTCTTCAGCAGCTTCATCCCAGCCCATGCCTGAGCCAGCTTTCACACCTTGTCTACGCCTTGGTGTGTGCCTTTTATCGTAAGGGCCGGTTCTATTTATATCTGTTGCCTCCATGCAATCGAGATACCATCAATAGGCTTGCAATGCAATGCAGGGCTTGCCTGGGATGCTAAACTCTGTATGAGTCTATATAATTCACAATGTCTTACTTAGCTTTCAACACAAGCCTTGAATGCAGGACTTTGTTTCACTTTATGAGACTGACACGTCTGCTCTTTTTTTTGGCTAGGTGCAGGTGCAGCTTGAAGTGTGCCACCAATGAGAGCAGGCATCCGGAAGCAAGAGCTGTGATTGATGCAATCACGATTGACATGATGGGATGCTGTGGGAGCATCAGCACATACGAGAAAACAAAGCTAAACCTTGAGATGTTCAGGTTCTCAGGCTCCAAAATATGTTTAGTTGTTTACCAGTGTTTACTCCTGTTAACTTGAGAGGAAAAATAAAGAGATCGAATCCCTGGCTCTCCATCCTGTTTCCGACCTTTTTGCTAAGAATGTCAAACAGTGCCAGTACATTTGCAAGTCACACGCTCAGCTCAAAATATTGCAAATGACCCTCCATTCGCATGCTTCGATCCATGATCGCTCCTGTCCCGACCAACAACGCCATCAAGTGGGTGGCCATAGCAGACTCATTGGCAGGGATGGACCACCGTAAAAAGGCAGCAGGAAGAGCAACTCCTGCGCAAACCGAGTACGATTTTGGATCATCTTCAAAGACTGTCCGCAAAGGCCGGAGTAACAAAGTTGGCTTTTCAACTTTGTCTTTTTTATACCCTGGGGGGTAGACTGCTATTAGAGGTAGGTTACCTAGGTAGGTACAGTAGCTAGAGGTAGCTAGCACCTTACTAGTACGATACTAGGAACTGGACGCAGGATAGCTCACGCATGCTCACGCTATTCATTTGGTTTCTAGATTTTCTGGGAAGCTTAATAATAAGTGCACTGTGTCTCGTGCAAAGACTGCTAAAGCCGGCAACGATCCTGTCCTACAACATCGGTGCTCAATACGTCCAGCACGCGCCAGGTGCTTGAACTCCATACTCCAGTCATGACCGAAATCAAACCGCCGCTTCTGCTATGCTACGCTTAAATATCGAGCAATTCATACACCCTCAACTCTGACTCAACTCTATTTGTTTTCTTGTATTTTTAGAAGCTACGCTACAAACATGTTGATTAGCTGTTTGAACAGGTCAGAGCGGGGATGCCATTTTTGACATGTTTACCTTGGCGACATGGCTGCGCAAAAAATAGAAAGGCCGGGAAGGTCTACAGGCCCAAATACAGTAGAGGCGTCCTTTATCTTCCTTTCAGTCTTTTGTCATGACATGTCATGACTATTCCCCATATTTTGCTTCACGCGTATTTTGCCTGATTCAGTGCGCTCTAGGTTCACTTGAAAGTTCGGAAATGTCGAGATAATGAATACTGCCCATCAAACACCACTCTCAAAGAAATCGAGTGCTCTTGGCCTATCAGGCAAGTGGTTTGGCCATTCCATATCTGGTCCTGATGGCAGTCAGAGAGTCTCCGATTCACAGCCACATTGTGCCAAAATGCAGCCCAGTCTCACATACAGAGTTGCCAAAACACTCAAACAACATGCTGGTTGTCCCATTCAAAGCGGATGTGTGCAGCGTCAACAAGGAAAGAATGGGATGTCTAACACCTGCTTGTGATAAACACCCTGATTATTCATGATTTGCCAAGTCTCCACCATTCAGCAGTATGACTTGCCGACATTCGACATTATCCGAGATCACTCTGAGATATATATCCGCCGACCCCGGCCGACGCAAGGGGGAGCGCGCCAGGGAATAATGATAGATCCGCCAGAACTCAATGGGTTAAAGCCGTGGCGGAGGGGTGGTTTCAGATGCTTTTGGGAGGCTGGAAAGCTTTTGGCAGGCTGTTGGTGGAAGCTTTTTGGGAGGCTGGTTAGTGGTGGAAAATGCTAGCAAATTGTCTTTTTTCTAGGGATCCAGAGCGTCCGTTTGACATCGAACGTCCGAGGACATGGGGCTCGTTTGGAGCAGAACTCAATGGGTTAAAGCCGTGGCGAAGGGGTGGTTTCAGATGCT